CTGCTGATGGGCCTCTTGGAGGGCTTTCTTCTCTTTTGTCAGCTTGGCGATGGTCTCGTCCAGGGCTGCCATCTCCTCTGTGAGGTTTTTCACCTTTAGGAAGAAGGGAGCGAGTGTAAATCAAGGAAGTAGATATAGAGTGGGGCTCTTTTCTGGAGTGTAGGTGAGATTTTCTGCCTCATACCTTGTTTTCAGTGGCGTGTTTTTCCTTCTCCACCTTGGCCAGTGTTAGCTCAAGGTCATCAATATCTTTCTTCAGCTCTGAACATTCATCCTCCAGTTTTCTCTTCTTGGCTGTCAGCTCAGCATTGATTTCCTCCTCATCCTCAGCTCTTTCAGTCACTTCTTTAACTTTGGCTTCCAGCTGGATTTTGGTTTTGATGAGTTGGTCACACCTTTCCTCAGCATCAGCCAAAGCATCAGCTTCCTTGTGAAAAAATACAGGAAGGATTATTTAATTCTGAAGGAACAGATGTGCATTTCTAAGACCTTTGGGATTCTTTTTTGGAAAAAGTTACTGTGCAGTTATGTTACAAATTACAAATCTAGAATAAGATTTTCATAAATTTTATTTTTTTTCAGACCTTTAGATTCATCAGTGCAGCCCTGTGTAGGTACCTTGCATTTCACCTTATTTATTTCGTGTGTATTATAAAGTCACTTAGATTCAGTTTTCCTTTTCTCTTTAGAAAGTGATTGTTTATTATGATGTACTATATTCAAATTTATGTGGAAGTACTGAGAAATGTAAATAACTCTACCGTTGAGGAAATACTTGAAACTTGAATTAGTAGCTTTATACCCAGCTATTGCAGTTAGTGGAAAATAGAATAAAATTCATCTTTCCTCAAAATAGACATTTCAACTCATGGGTGTTGCCGAAATGTCCATCATTCTGAGAGGCCAAATGGCTTTAGAGACAAACACAGTGCTTCTGTTTTAAATTCTAATGGGCATCTGTGTCTTCTGGGAGCAGTAGGTACAGGAGCTGAGGTGAGGTCTACTGTAAGAAATGGCACTCGGCTCTTCACTTTGACAAGTTAAGGCAGAGGAGGAGGTCAATCAAATCACTATCTCTATTCCTCTAAATACACTACAGCGACCATAATGAGCCTTTATATCATGAACTCACACAGGACACGTTATAAGTAGGTATTAAGAGAGAAAACTCATTCTTTAGATTAAACTCCACTTCGCAGTAGTGAGACTGAATGGGGAAAGAATGTGGTCTGAATTTTACATTTAGTTACCTGGTATTAGGCTTAAAATATTTTATAAGAAAGCTTACTATGCAGTTTGAGAGTCCTATAGTAGGAAAGAAGAGTTAGATCTTATTTATTTATTTCCCCTATAAAGAAAGGTATAGAAAAATGTTACTCACGGCCTGCACTTGGAGCTGCAGATCATTTTTCTCCTGCACCAGTTTCACCATTTTCTCCTCCAGCTCCTTCCGCTTTGCCTCAGACTTTGCAAGCTCTTCCTTAGTTTTCTCAAACTCCTCCTTCATGTTGGCCATCTCCTTCTCAGACTCTGCACTCTTCAGCAAGGGCTTGATCTTGAAGAACAGCTTCATCCAGGGCCAGTGTTTGACATTCATGAATGCACGAATGTTGTACTGGATGCAGAAGATGGACTCTCTGGAGCATAATTCAGATGTGCAATGAGTATTTTCAGTCTGAAAAGTGTCAACACTTTCCCTCAAGCACAGTGAGTTTAACTGAAGACAAGGAATGTGTACCTTCTCTCCACCATTCTCTGGTACTCCACCCTCATCAGGAAGCCTCTGCATCTGGCCTGTGTGCGAGTGATGAGCTGTGCCAGCTTCTCATCCCTCATCTCCTCCAGGAGCCCCAGCAGCCCAGCTTTGAAGAACACCTTAGAGAGGGAATGTTGCAGCACATCGCTGTCAGGCCGGGCAAAGCACAGGCACAGAGTGAGTGAGGGAATGGGGGGGTTTGTACCTTGGTGTGTCCAAATTTGTACTGGGTGTGGTCCACATCGATTGAGCCAAGGAGCTTCTCAGAAGCCTTCTTGCTGTCGATGAACTGTCCCTCTGGGATGGCACTGGCATTAAGCACCTTGTATCTGTGAAAAGAGGAAGAGAAGGCTATTTTTTCCCAACCAACACACAGGAGCCACTAAACCCCGCCAGGTCATATATAGCTATTTTTGACAACAAACTGAATGGACCTATGAATGGACCAACAACACTTTTAATGATGCTGAGAAGTGCAGTGCTCTTACCTCTGTTTGAAGTCAGCATAGAGGACTCTGCTGGGGAACCCTTTCCTGCAAATCCTGATCCCTTCCAACACGCCGTTACAGCGCAGCTGGTGCAGCACCAGCTCGTGCTCCATGGCACCTGAGCAAGGCAGAGCAGAGCACAAAGGAGTGGCACAGATTCCAGTGTGGAGGGGAATGGATGTCAGAGCAAACCCTCTTCCTACTTGAGCATCTTACCGGGTGTTTTGGTCTCATTGGGGATAATACAGCGCACAAAATGGGGGTGAGTGCTCCGCAGATTGGTCATCAGCTTGTTTAAGTTTTCCTGTGGGAACACATGATCACATGCTGCAGCTTAGATTTAAGAAATTTGCTTCTGCATGCTTTGTACCTAGATGCCAAGGAACTAATATAATGGATCTTAGGAAAAAGAAGCTTTCAAATTCAAAATTTAGATTTAAATAAATTTTCTATGTACTTTTCATTAAAAAATATTCTCATAAAGGAGTTTAAAATTTTTCACCTTATTTTGGAGGAAGTAAAGTAATACTCTATAAATATTTTATGACAAGCCTTTTGGAGATTAATACTTACATTACATGCCAGATTCTGAAAAATGTTTTTCAAAAAGAATGTGAGTGAACTCCTATTAGAAAGTCAGAGGATCAAATGAAGACTGGATCCTAAATTTGAACAGAAAACTACTAGAAAAAAGCACTTCATCCTTAATATTGTTCTTCATTCAAGAAATGTTAGAAGGAGAACTCAAGTGTATATAGCTCAGATTTGACACTGTGTTCATTTCACTTTATAGACAATGAATCCATCCTTTACCCGGAAAAGAGCTGAGACAGTCTGGAAAGAAGAACCCTTCTTCTTGCCACCCTTCTTTCCACCACCAGCACCACCACCACTAGCCTCTTAAAAAAAAAAAAAGGAAAAAAAAAGAAGAATTTTTCAATACATTTTTTTTATTGCATCTTTAAGTATCACAAAGCTTGAAAAAGAAAATAAAAAAATAACCTGTTTCTGCTCCACCATAGGAAGCAAAAAGTAAAGCCAGGGTCTTGACAGATGATTTCTGGTACAGCCCAATGACAGTTTCATTTAGAGGGTCCTTGTTCTTCTCCAACCACCCAGTGATGTTGTAGTCCACTGTGCCAGCGTAGTGCACCAGGGAGAAGTGGGCCTCAGCCTTGCCTTTGGCAGGTTTGGGCTTCTGGAAGTTGCTGGACTTGCCCAGGTGCTGGTCATAGAGCTTGTTCTTGAAAGAGGTGTCAGTTGCCTTGGGGAACATGCACTCCTCTTCCAGGATGGAGAAGATGCCCATGGGCTGGAAGATAGTTCAATAAAAAAGAGAGACTGCCTGTAGAATAACATGACTATGACTTGGTTTCAAAAGGAAGATAGTAAAAGATAGTAAGCTGAGAAACAAACTTTGCCATTAAGAACATTTCTTTCTGAAAAGTGAGTTTAAAAGATTCACCTGCTTGTCTCATACTTTGTCACAGTGATTTAGGAATGGTTTTTATTCCAGAAACCATGTTAAAGATCAGGAGGAGAAAAAATATATTGAAAAATAGTTTTCACAAATGTGAACTATTTTGCATATTTATTATGCATTGCATATTTACTTCTGCTTTTGAACTTTCAATCAATTCTCTAAATTATATGGTACTACAAAAAATCTCAGTTTCTTGCTCTCAGACATCAGGCATTGACTGTGTTGGCCTTACTTGCTATGGACAGGCTAAGGACTTGCTATGGACTTGCTAAGGACCTTAATGGTCCTTACTTTGCTATGAACCGTATAGGAAAAAAATGTATTGTTCAGATAACTTTATTCCAGAATCTTAAGAAAATATTTTCATGTTACTGTAGGAGCTGCTCTGTGTTTTTGAAGATAATATCCTTTAATCAAGCAAATGGAGATACCTTCCATGTAGAGAATGTGAAAGAATTACTTCTACAGTTTTATCTGGACTTTGTAATATCTATTATGCATAATTAGCAACAGATAAAGACATATTTCAACAGCTAAAACTAAGAAACTAACAGGGCAAACTTAAAATAATGTGTTCCTGAAAATGCAAGACATTTACAAGTCAAAATGTACCTTCTCAATGAGCTCAATGCAGGCAGCCAGGTCCATCCCAAAGTCAATGAATGTCCATTCAATTCCCTCCTTCTTGTACTCCTCCTGCTCCAGCACGAACATGTGGTGGTTGAAGAACTGCTGCAGTTTCTCATTGGTGAAGTTGATGCACAGTTGCTCTAGGCTGTTGAACTGCATGGTGGAAAAACCCCACAACAACCAACCCTTGTCAACATGCACAGTTCTTGATCATGCCTTTATCAATCTTCTCAGTTAAAATACAAGTGTATTATCACAACCACACCATAACTGGATCTATATGCAGCTTCACAAAGAAGTACCTACATAATTAAAATGAGGGTTTATTTCAGAGCAGATATTCCTAGTGAATCTACTAAAAATCATAAAATATTTTGGCAATTTTTTATTCAGCCAAAAAGGTGTGCTCTTCAGACAAGGTGTGCTCTTGTCTCCAAATTTAAAAACTTGATCTCTCTGGTTAACATTCCTTGGTTCTTAAAACAATTTACACATCTTTAACCTGTTATTAGCTCAGTTGGTTAGAGCATGGTGCTAATAATACCCAGGTCATGGGTTTGATCCGCATATGGGCCATTAGCTTCAGTGCTGGACTCAATGATCTTCCTGAGTGCCTTCCAACTCAGAATACTCTGTGATTCTGTGACATATTTGTCAATGGGTCTCCTAGTTCTGCTCTAGAAGCTCTTCTATAAAATTATCGTAATTATGTTGGTTTATTTAATCTCTAAAATTAAGCTCAAACTGTTATATCATAATGCATAAAATTCTTTTGAGGATTTTGCTCTCTGCTATAAAGGAAAATGATGGGATTTTTTTCCCCATAAAGTTGCAAATGACTAGCATGTTAAGCCTTCAGAGGAACATCGCTTGCAAGTCCTCGGATATAACAATCTCTCCCTGCAAGAGTAGTCCTCAAAACTGGAATCCTTACATCAAAGATCTCAAAGCCAGCAATGTCCAGCACACCAATGAAGTACTGCCTGGGCTGCTTCGTGTCCAGCTGTTGGTTGATGCGAACAACCATCCACAGGAACATCTTCTCATAGACAGCCTTTGCCAGGGCACCCACTGAATTGTTCACCTAAAGCACAGAGAAAGGTTTGGAGGTTACTACACACAGCAGAGGAGAATCAACACCAACCATCAAAGCATTTTCCAGATTATTCTATTTTTCCTACCTGCTGCACTGTTTGGCCCTTGGTCACGTATTCATTCCCCACCTTGACTCGGGGGTAGCAGAGGGCCTTGAGCAGGTCTGCTGAGTTCAGACCCATTAGGTAGGCAGCCTTGTCAGCAACTAAGTAGAAGGACAAGAAGATAGAAAAATTAAGACTAATATGACATGCAGCATTTTGAGTGATGAACCCTTTGCAAAACAGCTGCAATATTGAATGTCTCTGTGACCAAATTCTGCTTACTGGATCTCAGAGGAGCCATGACATAGTTATTAAAAAAAAAAATCTTTATTTTGAAACTTAAAAAGTCTTAAAAGAAGCATCTAGAAGCAATGTATTTATTAAAATTCATACTAGTATTCATTAGCAATTTTACCCTAGATAATAAGTGGTTTATGAAGTAGAAGTCCTAATACTGAATATAATCCCTCCATTTTCTTTAAAGATCAACCTGAAACAAGTTTTTTAAAAATCTTTCCCTTCTCAGTGGGTTTGAACACACTGAGCAGGCTGTGCTAATTCAGAGTGGTAGCTCAGGAGAGATTTATGGGCATATATGCAATTGATATTGCAGATAATGATTAGGCAGTAATCAAAAAAAGGTTGTATTTTGGATGGCAGTTTCATGCCTATATACTATTTCACTTAAACACATTTGTACCGTTTTCTTTCTCCATCTTCCAATTATTGAATTACTATTGCTACTTCTATTCTAATAGGTTAGCCAAAGATTTTGCTGATACCTTCAGTGCCATCAGGCTCTGCCTGCTCCTCACGCTGCTTCTGCTTGAACTTCAGGTTCCCGTAGTGCATGACAGCCCCTGTCAGCTTGTAGATGGCTGTTTTCTCATCAGCACTGAAGCCCAGGATGTCAATGGCACTCTGCACCAGGAACAGTAAAATAAAAGCTTTGTCTTGGAGAGATGACAATAGGTACAATGTTGTTAATTGGTACTCACATCTGTGGCCATGAGCTCCTCCTGGTCGTTAATGCTGGGAACAGTGATCTCACCTTGACTCACAAATTGATAGTCATATGGGTTGGTGGTGATGAGGAGCATGTCTGAAAGTAAGAGGGGATATACAGGCTTATTTTAGTCAAGCAAGTAACGGTGTTCAGCAGTCTTCCTCCAGTTATTAATTCTTCCTACCAATTAACTCTGGCTTCTTGTTGGACATGATCTGATAAAAGATGTGGTAGCTTCTTTCCGCCTTGAGCTGGAAAGTGACTCTGGACTTCTCCAGCAGATCTGGAGAAAAAATTTTAGTTAGAAAAAAGAAGAAACAGGAAAAAAAAGAAAGTAAAAAGAAGATGGGAAGAAAAACAGGGAAGACAGGATAGATATTTGGATGAAAAGATGTTTTATGGATAGACAGGTGAGTAGATGGATTGTTCAGGAAAGTGTCTTACATGTTTCAATATCTGCAGAAGCCAGTTTTCCTGTGGCACCAAAATGAATTCTGATGAATTTGCCCTTTAAAGGAATTAAAGTGTCTTAGGATTTACAACATAAAAAATATCACTGAAATGAAGAGTTCTTCCATTTATTCCACAGGGCACAAGATTTCTACTTAGAGACATTCCACTATTAACATAAAGTTGTCTTTTTCATTTTTGACCAAAAAATAATCAACAGTGGCACAACTGTATTTTGTGTAGGTTGAATGTACAAATGTGAAGGAATGTGTGGGTTTCATTAGAGAAACTAGTCTAACGATATGCTGCATACAGAGAGCAGTTGCCTTAATGATACGAAAACAGCAATTTAAGTAGTTCAGCTGCTTAAATCTGTATTGCTAATAGACAATTTCACTTGTGGTTAAATAAATTTGAGATAAAGCTACTATATTAAATTAGAAACTCTCTCCCATTCCTTCCTTCCTGAATAACAGAAAAGGATAACTGACATAAACTTCTATTTCCTATGTTTGAGGAAGCATTTTGTTAAGCAACTCACAAAGCGTGAGGAGTTGTCGTTCCTCACGGTCTTGGCGTTTCCAAAGGCCTCCAGCAGTGGGTTGGCGCTGATGATTTGATCCTCAAGCGTTCCCTGCAGGGGGAAAATTATTGATGGTTATCCTTTCCAAAAATCATGTCAGGAACAGAGGAAAGCATTGGTGCCAGCATGTGTCTATTAATTTACCTGCATTTTGCCTGATGTCTGCTCCTCCTTCTTCTTGTCCCCGCTGGCTGCAATTGTTGCAAAGTACTGGATGACACGCTTTGTGTTCACAGTCTTCCCGGCACCGGATTCTCCGCTGTCAGAGCAA